CCCTGGAACCGACACAAAGGTCAAAGAGCATGGGAAGTCTCCAAGAGACAGAGCTGCACGCCTGCATTCACAGCATTACTCACACAAGCCAAACAGCCGAAGCAACCCCGGCGTCCACCTACAGACGAGTGGAGGAACAAAGTGTGCTATGTCCACAGCACGATGACTCTTCAGCCTTAAAGAGGCAGGAAATGCCGCCACACACCACCACACAGATGAACCCTGAGGGCTCTGTGCTGAGTGAAATAAGCCAGTCACAAAAGGACAACAATCGCACAATTCCTTTTCTGTGGGGTCCCTGGGGCAGTCAAATCCAGAGTCAGAAAGTAGAGGCCGGGTGCAGTGGCTCATGCCTGTAATCCCAGCACTTTGGGAGGCCAAGGCAGGGGGATCATCTGAGGTCGGGAGTTCAAGACCAGCCTGACCAACATGGAGAAACCTCATCTCTACTAAAAATACAAAAAATTATCTGGGCATGGTGGTGCATGCCTGTAATCTCAGCTACTTGGGAGGGTGAAGCAGGAGAATCACTTAAACCCGGGAGGCAGAGGTTGTGGTGAGCTGAGATTGTGCCATTGCACTCCAGCCTGGGCAACAAGAGTGAAACTCCATCTCAAAAAAAAGAAAAGAAAGTAGAATGGGGGTCACCAGGGCTGGGGGAGGGAAAAAGGAGAGCTGCCATTTAATGGGTCCAGAGTGTCAGTTTGGGAAGATGGACGGGGCGGTGATGGCTGCACAACAGTGTGAACTTAATGCCACGGAAACTCTACACTTAAAAATGGTACATTAGGCTGGCGTGATGGCTGGAAACTCTACGCTTAAAAATGGTACATTAGGCCCGCGTGATGTCCGGAACTCTACGCTCAAACATGGTATATTAGGCCGGGCGTGATGGCTCACACCTGTAATCCCAGCATTTGGGGAGGCCAAGGCAGGTGGATCATGTGGGGAAAAGAGATCAGATTGTAACTGTGTCTGTGTAGAAAAAGGAAGACATAAGAAACTCCATTTTGATCTGTACTAAGAAAAATTGTTCTGCTTTGAGATGCTGTTAATCTTTAACTCTTGTTCCAACCCTGTGCTCACAAAAGCATATCCTGTATGGAATCAAGGTTTAAGGGATTTAGGGCCGTGCAGGATGTGCTTTGTTAAAAATGTGTTTGTGAAAGTCATCGCCATTCTCCATTCTCGATTAACCAGAGACACAATGCACTGTGCAAGGCCACAGGGACCCCTGCCCAAGAAAGCCTGGGTATTGTCCAGGTTCCCCCGCACTGAGAGAGCCTAAGATATGGCCTCATGGGAAGGGAAAGACCATACAGTCCCCCAGTCTGACACCGACAAAGGGTCTGTGCTGAGGAGGAGTAGTGCAAGAGGGAGGCCTCTGTGCAGTTGAGATAAGAGGAAGGCATCTACCTCCTGCTTGTCCCTGGGAATGGAATGTCTCGGTGTAAAACCCGACCATACATTCTATTTACTAAAATAGGAGAAAACCGCCCTATGGCTGGAGGTGAGACATGCTGGCGGCAATACTGTTCTGCTGCTCTTTACTGCACTGAGATGTTTGTGTAAAGTTAAACATAAATCTGGCCTACGTGCACATCCAGGCACAGCACCTTTCCTTAAACTTATTTATGACAGAGTCTTTTGTTCACACATTTTCCTACTGACCCTCTCCCCACCATCACCCTATAGTCACACCGCATTCCCCTCACCAAAATAGTAAAGATAGTGATCAACAAATACTGAGGGAACTTAGAGACCAGTGCCAGTGCAGGTCCTCACTTGCTGAGCGCCAGTCCCCTGGACCCACTTTTCTTCCTCTATACTTTTGTCTCTGTGTCTTATTTCCATTTCTCAGTCTCTCGTCTCCACCTTGCAAGAAATACCCACAGGTGTGGAGGGGCAGGCCTCCTTCAGGATCACTTATGCTTAGGAGTTTGAGATCAGCCTGGGCAACATGATGAAACCCCATCTTTACAAAAAAAATAAAAATTTGCCAGGCGTGGTGGCACATGCCTGCAGTCCCAGCTATTTGGGGCAGCTGAGGCAGGAGGATTGCCTCAACCTGGGAGGTTGAGGCTACAGTGAGCTAAGATTGTGCCGCTGTACTCTAGTCTGGGTGACAGAGCAAGACCTCATTTCCAAAAAAAAAAAAGTACATTTTATGTGGATTTTACCACAATTAAACCAAAACAGTAACAGATAACAGACACACAAAATGATTGGCGTGGTGGCACGCGCCTGTAGTTCCAGCTACTCCGCAGGCTGAGGCAGGAGAATCGCTTGAACCCGGCAGTGGAGGTTGCAGTGAGCCGAGATCACACCACTGCACTCCAGCCTCGGGGACAGAGTGAGACTCCATCAGAGATTGGAAGACGCCAGATTCTAGGTGTATAAAAATATAACATATAAAGTTGGGGAGGCCATGTTAGTTACCTTTTCTACTTAACTTCTTGTTTTTATTCCCCAAATGTCCTGAAGAACAAACTCTCCCTTCCCCAGTATGATACCAATTAGCATTCCCAGGAGCCCACATCTTCAAGAACACAATCCAGGAATGCTAACCAGACCACACGGCCCTTCCCAGACTTCCCAGTAGCTTTTCCTTTCATGCAAACCCACCAGACACCGGGCCACATCAGCGGACAGGTACTGCCCACTAGAAACACAAGTGTGTGACCATGAGGGTGGACAGAGTGGCCCGGCCCGTACCTGCTCGGAGAGCACGCATCACGATTTCAGAAGCTGCCTCCGGCGGGGAGCAGACAACTACTCCAGAGACGCTGCAGGAATAAAGCGGAATGTTAAGAGTGTGCTTTGAGACCTAGAACATTTCAAAATCCATGCTGCTAACACCACTCTATAAACCATCTCAGGCACGAGAGTAACACAAGAAAAAGGCATCAACAAAGTAAATTGTGAAAACATTTCCAGTATGACTTACTTCAGAATTTAACTTGCTAATTTTGAGGAATAAAATACAGATTCTAGCCAAGTCACAGAATAGGCTTCTGTGAGTCAAATTCTATTAAGATCCTCAGGGTCAGGTGCAGGGGCTCACACCTGTAATCCCAGCACTTTGAGGTTTCCTGAGGCAGGAGGATCCCTTGAGCCCAGGAGTTCAAGACCAGCCTGGGAAACATGGCAAAAACCAGTCTCTAGAAAAAATACTAAAAAAAATTAGCCAAGCTTGGTGTCACACACCTGTAGTCCCAGCTACTCAGGAGGCTGAGGTGGGAGGATCACTTGAGCCCAGGAGGTTGAGGCTGCAGTGAGCTGTGATCGCACCACTGCACTCCAGCCTGGGTGACAAAGCAAGACTCTTTCAAAACAACGATCCTCAGAATGAGTCTATCTCCCCTTCCTCAGCCTACAGAGGTCAGCCTCAGGTGTGGGCTGGACAGGAGCCCGGGGATTTCCGAGGACTGTGATCTCCAGGCTGGCCACACAGGTGCATGCAGTTCGTAAAAACACACCAACTCGGGCACTTTGCTGTGTGTCTCATGTATGAATGTGCACACTCTGTGAATGTGATACCCAAGTGAAGTGTGCAAACCTGCCTAAAGCAGATGCCACACAAGATAACTGAAAACTAAAATTTGCAGGCCAGGCGCAGTGGCTCACGCCTATAGTTCCAGCACTTTGGGAGGCTGAGGCAGGCAGATCACGAGGTCAGGAGATCGAGACCATCCTGGCTAACACGGTGAAACCCCATCTCTACTAAAAATACAAATTAGCCAGGCGTGGTAGCGCACGCCTGTAGTCCCAGCTACTCTGGAGGCTGAGGCAGGAGAATCGCTTGAAGCCGGGAGGCGGAGCTTGCAGTGAGCTGAGATTGTGCCACTGCACTCCAGCCTGGGCGACAGAGTGAGACTCCGTCTCAAAAAATAAATAAAATAAATAAATAAAATAAAACTTGCCAACTTTCCAAAAACACACACAAAGCGATAACATTCACGAACATTCTTCTGCAGTGACAATGGGCTTTGCTGAGATACAACACTGCCCAGCTGATACGTTCAGAGCCCTCCACGTACATTAACAAGCTGGGGTCAAACTCTCCCCTTACTACGCTATTAAGAGCATGTCCAAACCTGGACATGCCAAAGGTGAGCCAGGCCTGTCCTGTGAGCAGCACTGGCCAGCTCTGCGAAACACCAGGCAGTGCCCAGCCCAGGCCTGAACACAAGGGCTGCACCTGATCCCAGGGCTGGGTGGCTGCCCTGGAGCCCGTCTACTTGCTATGGGCCCGTCTACACCCTGTGGGCAGCAAGTATAGATGTTGCTCCAGCTGCTGGAGACACTGCTCCTGAACAGGGTGGACACGTCACACCCAGCTGCTCGAGTGAAGGGAGGAAGCCAGGACCCCATCGCAAAGGTTGTACATTCAAAATATCCCAAATCCAGCCACACTGCTGCCCTGGTCCAAGCCCAGCATGCCTCATTGGCCCCACAATACCCCTCACTGGTGTCCCTGCGTCCTTCTCCTCCGCCCCCTGAGTGTGAGCTCAAACCAAACCAACCCCTGGTGGCTTTCAAAGCCTCTGGGTCACCCCCAGGCTCCTTGAGCCTCGGACCTTGTTGCCCAGCCCTCACCCTGAGTTCACTCCATTCCTGCCGGTACGGCCACTCGGCTACATCAAGGCCTGGAGAAGACTCAGTGTCCTCTTTGTAGAGTGTGCTCATCCCCAGATACCCCCATGGCCATCTCACTGACCCACCTAGGTCCCTGCTCCAATGCCCCCTCCTCAGAGTCTTCCCCAGCCATCTCACCTAAAACAGCTCTCCCACCAGCCTCCCTCTCCCGACGGCGTGAGTTCTCTCCACAGAGTTTACTGCTACTGATGTATTGAGATCTACTCAGCTGCCTCTGCACCCAATTCAGCAGCACAAGGATGGGGGCTTTGCAGCATTCAGAGCCATTTCTCCAGCCCCCAGGACGGTGCCCGGCACACAGCAGGTGTTCAGTGAACCTCTGCTGACAACTGAAACCGCACCGCTGGTCGTTGAGGACAATGTCCGCATCCTGTTTCCGAACCACTCTGGTGTTGGCCAAATGCTCAGCTCTGAAGGCTCGCTCCACGCCACACAGCTGGTCCTCCATCACGTACAGCAAGCAGCAGCAGCCGCCGTTCTCATCCACCACACCCGGCAGCAGTGCTGGGCTCCCAAAGCCCACCCCAAAGATGGCCAGGCCAAGGTGGTCGGCCACCCTGGCTCCAAAGTCATGACAGCATCTCAGGCCTCCTCCACGGAGCACCCTATGGGAGGCTTCGGAAAATCTCTGGCTGGTCCGCTCTGAGGGCACTGCTGGTGTCTTTACTTGGAAAGCAGAAGACACTGAAAGGTGGCGGGTGGAGGCAGATGGTGTTGCATCCTCCTGGGCAGACAAGTCGCTTGTGGTGATGCTGATGGCAGTAGGGTTGACAGGGAGCAGAGACGTGCGGCCCACGGCGGGAGGAGGTACCATGCCAATGCTGGGACTGCCTGAGAGAATGAGCTGGGGCTGAGGCTGACGGGGCAAAGGCTGGTGGTGAGGGTGTGCGTGAAGGCCGGTGGCAGTGAGATCCGAGGCGGCCGAGCTGGACAAAAGACACATTCATTTAAACAAAGTGGTAGGACTCACAGCACCCAGTCCACAATCATCTCAGAGGATCAAAAGCGGGGAGTCACCCTGCAGACCAGTATGTATCTGGCTTGTGATAAGGCAGCATTCGGGTGGCCACGCACACTTTAATCAAACTGCAAGACTTCACAGGGTTACTCCCCAAGTGGGCAAGCCACTAGCAGATCCGTAAACGTAGTGTCATCAGGCGGCCTGTCCACATACTTCGGAAACTTTTGCAGGGCAGAGAATCCTAAAATAGCCGGCAGCCCGCTGGGATGTCTCCTGAAATACTAGCGTTGGCACTGACACTTACACGAGAATGGGCGTCCGCAGGCCGTGCTGCGGATGAGTCTGCGGTTCCTGTAGTGCCTGCCCGAGGACAGGTGCTCCGGGATGCGGTCCCTGGGCACGCGCATATGCAGCTCGCAGGCCGTGCAGGAAAGGGTCTCCACCACAGACGTGTCCCCAGAGTCACTGTGCTCAGTCAGGGGCTGCTACACCACCAGGTCGGTGAACTCCGCCGCGCAGTCGTGCAAAGTCTTTTTCCGGCCCGTTGTCGGGTCCGGGATGGAAACGGAGGCAGCCTTGACCCCCGACCGAGGGCCCCGTGGGATCTGCGCTCACCGCCTTGCGAGCAGAGGCGTTCGCGTCGGAGGCCCCACACTTGGGGAGCGGGGAGCTGGGGTCTCTGGTGGTCCCACAGGAGAAGGAGGAGGGAAGGAGCAGGTGGGAAGGATGAGCGCTCCCGCGTGCAGCGGTGGCTGAAGTGGGTCCCTCTGAGCTGGAGTGGTCTCCGAGGGGCGGCGGATGCTCGGAGGGGGCGGGTCCCTTAGGGCCGGGGGCCAGGGCGATCCCACCTGGAGAAGCCTCGCGGGCGAGAAGCGGGTCCCTTCCTGGGGCAGATGGAGACGCGGGAGTCTTCCCCGAGAGGTGACCGAGGCCAGTCAGCGGCCCCTGGGGCCCAAGGCCGGGGACTCTCGGCCGCCGGTGGACGGGCAGGGCCGGCCCGCCTGGGTAGGCGGCGGGGTGAAGGTCTCCGGGGCCCGAGGCGGCAACGTGCCACCCGCCGGGCAACCAGCCCATCCCCAGCTCCCATCTGGAGATCCGCACCCGCGCGCCGCGGCGCCGCAGTTTAAAGCCCGTGAGATCCTGCAACAACCCGGATCCGGAAGTGCGGGGGCAGAGCAGGGCGAGGACAGGGGTGGGACCTTCGGTGCAGAGCCGGGGCCAAGTCGAAGGAGGTTCAGGGCGCGGGGCGGGGCTCCGACCGAGGGGCGGGGTCTTGGGCGTGGGGGCGGAGCCTGTGCGGGGCGTGGAGATCTGATGGGTCCCAGATGCACGTGCACCCAGGTGCTGACCGCCCCACCTTAGGCGGTTTCTCTGTGGGTGGCCCGTTATCTCCAAGTGGAGTCGCTCTCCCCACAGGATTTCCCCGATTGGCAAGAGGGTTTTATTTTCTTATTAAGAAAATAAAATTGACTCTGCAATTTACAACTTTTTTTTTTTTTTTTACCGTAACCAAAAATCTTAGGCTTGTTAGTGTTTGACTTTCCACTCAGTTTTTGTTGTTGTTTTGTTTTTGGTTTTTGGTTTTTGGGTTTTTTGAGACCGAGTCTCCCTCTGTCACCCAGGCTGGAGTGCAGTGGCGTTATCTCGGCTCACTGCAACCTCTGCCTTCCGGGTTCAAGCGATTCTTCTGCCTCAGCCTCCTGAGTAGCTGGGACTACAGGCGCAAGTTGAAGACCCTGAAGGCCCAGGCTGCTTTTCCGTGAGTACAAGGACACAACACCTGTGGGAGGTGTGGGCCCAGGCGCGGGATGCTGAGCTCACACGACCCCTAGGCCTAGGTAGCAAATAGACGCACGTGTGCCTTTCACACTCCGCCCTCACTTCTCACTGGCCCACCCACTCCTTGCTCTGGGAAATGAGGACGCAGCAGGAGATACCTGTAGCTCACACACACACACACCTTGCCCCCTGCAATGGCCAGACTTCCAGGGCTGCCTCGCTTCCCAGATACATTTTCGGGCGCCACTTGTAGGGTCCAGCCCTAAGGGGCTTAGCGGGTGTTCTCCCCGTGTGCAGAGACGAGAGATTGTAATAAATAAAGGCACAAGACAAAGAGATAAAGAGAAAGCAGCTGGGCCCGGGGGACCACTACCATGAAGACGCGGAGACTGGTAGTGGCCCCAAATGGCTGGGCTCACTGATATTTATTGCATACAGGACAAGGGGGCAGGGTAAGGAGGGTGAATCTTCTAAGTGATTGACAAGGTGAAGCAAGTCACATGATTACAGGATAGGGGGCCCTTCCCTTTTAGGTAGCCTAAGCAGAGAGATAAGACAGCATACATCAGCGGTTTCTTCTCTGCACTTATAAGAGAGATCAAAGACTTTAAGACTTTCACTATTTCTTCTACCGCTATCTACTACGCACTTCAAAGAGGAACCAGGAGTACGGGAGGAGCACGAAAATGGACAAGGAGCGTGACCATTGAAGCACAGCACCACAGGGAGGGGTTTAGGCCTCTGGGTGACTGTGGGCAGGCCTGAATGATATCCAACCTTCCACAAGAAGCTGGTGGGGCAGAGCGTTCCCTGACTCCTCCAAGGAAAGGAGACTCCCTTTCGTGATCTGCTAAGTAACAGGTGCCTTCCCAGACACTGGCGTTACGGCTTGACCAAGGAGCCCTCAAGCGGCCTTTATTGCAGGCGTAACAGAAGGCTCACTTCTTGCCTTCTAGGTTACTTCTCACAATGTCCCTTCAGCACCTGACCCTATACCTGCCGGTTACTTCTAGGTTATGTTAGTAATGCAACAAAGAGTAATATTAAAAGCTAATGATTAAAATGTTTATAATAATGATTGATAATTGTTCATGATCATCTCTATATCTAATCTGTATTATGACTATTCTTATTCTATCTTCTTTATTATATTGAAACAGTTTGTGCCTTCGGTTTCTTGCCTCAGCACCTAGGTAATCCTCCGCCCACAGCCACTGGCCTGCATTTAAGCCAGCTCCAAACATGCCTTCTAGATCTGGGGGAAATCTAGCCATTTTCACACGAAGTGACAAGACTAGAAGCTTTGATTTGTTTCTATAGATTGAATGTCGGCTCCAAGATAAGCTTTCTATTTAATATTGGCTTCTCTATCGATCAAACTGTCACCATGAGTTTCTGGTAACTGAACCAGAAATCGACTTGAGTGGTGTAATAGACGAGGAGTCTGCGGAACAGCATTTCAGAGACCAGTGTAAAAACAAAGCACAATACATGGGATTTTCAAACACGCTGGACCTCAGGCCAATGTGACGACATTTCCTGTGGTCCAAGTCCCCAAAACAATTAGAAATTGCGTGTGGAAGACTACAAAATAATCGCCAAAAGAGAAATTGGCAAAGCAAGAATTCTTTCTCAGTATTTGAGGCTGGTAAAAGTGCTTTATTTCTTATTAAAACACAGTATGTGTCACTTAATAACAGGGATATGTTTTGAGAAGTGCATCATTAGGCAATTTCATCATCCTGCAGACATCATACTGTGTGCTCACACAAACCTAGGTGGTTTACAGCCTAGTCCACCCCTAGGCTATATGCTATACCTGTTGCTTAGGCTGCAAACCTGTACAGCATGTTCCTGAGTATTGTAGGCAGTTGGAACACAATGGTATGTGTGTATCTACCCATGCCCAAACACAGAAAAGGTATGGTGAAAATACACTATCAGATTCTTTTTTTTTTTTTTTTGAGACGGAGTCTTAACTCTGTCGCCCAGGCTGGAGTGCAGTGGTGCAATCTGGGCTCACTGTAAGCTCCGCCTCTCGGGCTAACGCCATTCTCCTGCCTCAGCCTCCCGAGTAGCTGGGACTACAGGCGCCCACCACCATGCCCAGCTAATTTTTGTATTTTTAGTAGAGATGGGGTTTCACCGTATTAGCCAGGATGGTCTCAATCTCCTGACCTTGTGATCCGCCTGCCTCGGCCTCCCAAAGTGCTGGGATTACAGGCATGAGCCACCGCGCCCGGCCAAAATACAGTGTTAGATTCCTAAGACACTGCCATTGTATTGGTCTGTCATTTGGTCTATCATTGACCAAAATTTCATTATTTGGTATATGACTGTAGGTAAAAAATTCAAATATATACTAGGCTTGTTTTGTACTTTTATATTTAGATGCAAAAAACTGAAAGAGATTTTTGGGTGGTAAATATTTTTTATAAAGTCATATTGGAAAGGATGGGGTCATGAATTTCTATGGGGAAAAGAGATCAGATCGTAACTGTGTCTACGTAGAAAAGGAAGACACAAGAAACTCCATTTTGATCTGTACTAAGAAAAATTGTTCTGCTTTGAGATGCTCTTCATCTGTAACTTTAGCCCCAACCCTGTGCTCACAGAAACATGTGCTGTATTGAATCAATGTTTAATGGATTTAGGGCTGTGCAGGATGTGCCTTGTTAACAATATGTTTGCAGGCAGTATGCCTGGTAAAAGTCATCGCCATTCTCCATTCTCTATTAACCAGGGGCACAATGCACTGTGGAAAGCCGCAGGGACCTCTGCCCAAGAAAGCCGGGTATTGTCCAAGGTTTGCCCCCACTGAGACAGCCTGAGATATAGCCTCGTGGGAAAGGAAAGACCCTACCTCCCCCAGCCCGACACCCATGAAGGGTCTGTGCTGAGGAGGAGGAGGAGAGAAAGAGGGAGGCCTCTTTGCAGTTGAGATAAGAGGAAGGTTTCCATCTCCTGCTCGTCCCTGGGAATGGAATATCTCAGTGTAAAGCTGACCATTCATTCTATTCTGAGGTAGGAGAAAACCGACCTGTGGCTGGAGGCGAGATATGCTGGCAGCAATACTGCTCTGTTACTCTTTGCTACACTGAGATGTTTGTGTAAAGTGAAACATAAATCTAGCCTACGTGCACATCCGGGCACAGTACCTTTCCTTGAACTTATTCATGACACAGATTCCTTTGCTCACATGTTTCCCTGCTGACCTTCTCCTCACCATAACCCTGTTGCCCTGTCACACTCCCCTCACCAAGATAGTAAAAACAGTGATCCATAAATACTGAGGGAACTCAGAGACCGGCGCCGGTGCAGGTCCTCGCATGCTGAGTGTGCCAGTCCCCTGGGCTCACTGTTCTTTCTCTATACTTTGTCTCTGTGTCTTATTTCTTTTCTCAGTCTCTCATCTTCACCTGACGAGAAATACCCACAGGTGTGGAGGGGCAGGTTCCCTTCAAGTTTCCTTCAGTCCGCAAGCAGAGAAGTCTTTCTTCCCACTCAGACCCCAATCAAGGCTTCTGGAAGTGGGGCTTTTTTTTTTGAGACGGAGTCTCGCTGTGTGGCACAGGCTGGAGTGCAGTGGCGCGATCTCGGCTCACTGCAAGCTCCACCTCCCGGGTTTACGCCATTCTCCCGCCTCAGCCTCCGAGTAGCTGGGACTACAGGCGCCCGCCACCACGCCCGGCTAGTTTTTTGTATTTTTAGTAGAGACGGGGTTTCACCGCGTTAGCCAGGATGGTCTCGATCTCCTGACCTCGTGATCCACCCGCCTCGGCCTCCCAAAGTGCTGGGATTACAGGCTTGAGCCACCGCGCCCGGCCTGGAAGTGGGGGTTTTGTCTTTCTCTCCCTAAAAGATGTCCTGAGGTCGGCATTTGAAGCCTGGAAAAGCATTCCCAGGGAGCCAGACTTCTCTCTCTCTCTTCCAGGAATTGCTTCGCCAAATGGTTCTAATCCCGGAACCCACCCCCTAAACCTTTTCTAATACAATTACTGTCTTCAAGCCAGCACGTGGAGACAGATTTGAGCTGGACTTCTGTGTCCTGGGGAGCTGACTTTTCTTTTTCTCTTTTCTTTACTTTTTTTTTTTTTTTTTTTTTGAGATAGGGTCTCACTCTGTAGCCCAGGCTGGAGTGCAGTGACGCGAACACAGCTCACTGCAACCGCGACCTCCCCAGGCTCAGGTGATCCTCTCACCTCAGCCTCCTGAGGAGCTGGGACTACAGGTGCGTGCCACCATGCCTGGCTAATTAAAAAAATAAATAAAAACTCCTGGGTTCAAGCATTCCTCCCACCTGGGCCTCCCAAAGTGCTGGGATTACAGGAGTGAGCCACCGCACCCAGCCCAGAAGCCAACCTTCAGTACTGAGCT